ATATATACTTAAGATCTTTATAAATTCCTCCAACAAAGATTTTTAGATTTATAGATAATCAGGTGAAATTGAGACTAAAATATTTGATCTTCGTTTATTTGCGAAAAATGATTTGGACCACAAAGGATTAAAAACAATTATACTATACTTGATATATATATATATATATATATATATGTATATAATTGAACATAGTTGTGCAAAAAGAAATCAATTTTTTTGTATCTGTATTATAACATGTTTGTTAAATATAATATTTTTATAATCTCTGGTTAAAAAAAATTGTCATATCTCATTTTCATATTTATATTTAAAATTTTAAATTAATAAAAATTCTTTTTTAATGTTTTAAATTTCTGCAGATTTTGTATATTTAAAAAAAAAATTGTATAGTATAAAAAATCGTAAAATATTTTACATTTGCATGTAAACAACTCAGATAATATGCATGTCTAAAAGATGTCTAACAAATGTCATAAAGATGTTTTTTAGATGTGCGTACTATCTGAAAAGGATTCTAAAAAAGACATAGACCATGAATGTCAACGTCCGGCTCGCGCATCCTTTCAATTTGGTCAGTAATCGCATTCTAAAATTAAAATTTATTCTACACTCTACATACTCGAGAGACGTGATAGTTCCTGAGTAATACAAAAAGGATAATAACAGTCTGGTCAGAATTTGAGATCTCCTCCGGAGAAACTATAATTGGGTCACATTCGCGACGTGGACTTTCTCAGCATTTCTTAAAAGTGTTCCAATTTATATGAAAATCAGAAAAATTGTCTGGAACGTAAAATTATACATATATCATGAAGATCTGAAGTATTTACGTAGAAATTCTGGAAAATTAAATAAGGAATTAAGAAACAAAGTTTTATCAGAGATATTATAATCAAAGAATAATTGGAAATTATTATGTATTTTATTGCGTAGAGAGAATAATATTATTTTATTTTTAATTCTACATCATGGACTTTTGTCTCTAAAGTTGTTCTGAAACCTGTGAATACTTTTGTTCGAGAAATTACCTATGGAGTTATAATTTCTTTCTGCACATCTAATTGATTTTATCTTGTGTTGATAATGTTGTATGTTACATGAATAACGAGACGTCGTCATACAATTAATTCATGTCGGATTTATCAATTAAGAAATGTGCCAATTAACATTTGAGAACTTTTTTATACCCTGTATAATGATACAAAATAATAATAATAAATCAAATATTCGCAATCATATGTATACATAGACTATCATAATAAAAAATCTTAAAAACCATAAGTAAGATGCATACTTTAATTAATATTAATTTTTAATGATCATATAAGTTTGCAGTTTATTATATCTTAATGCAAATTTATGGAAATACTTCAATACAATTATCTTAAAATAACTAATATCGAAATGTGTATATAACGATTATTCATCTATTTTATTTTCAACCTATTTCTAGACTAATCTAGACTACAGTCTGTCTCAAAAGTTATCGAACTTTGTTTAACAATCCAATTTCTTATATAATTTTTGTGATTTTATTTATTAATTATTTCAAATATATTCCATTTAGTAATAAAGTAACGATCGTACAATTTTTATAACAGATATACATATCTAAAAAAAACTTTTAAAATAGTAGAAATGACTTCAATTAAAATCTGCAGCTTCTTATCTTACGATTTCTTGAAATCGTGCAGTTAAAATGTTGTCTTCTCAGCTTCAATTTCGAAAAAATATGATCACACGGAAAAAACGATTTTGTTGAAAGGTCTAAAAATTTTGCTGAATACAGATCTGAAAATAGTTTTTTGTTGAATCATCAAAATAATTTGTTGGAATGTTAAAACTAATAAGCATTGCTACAAAACGTTTTGATATTATAGTAATTATTTTCGCGCAAAATTATTTTGATTATTGAACAAAAATTATTTTTAGATCTGGATCCAACAAAATTGTTCTTTCTGCACAAGAAGCTATACATTTCACTTTTCACAGCAAATAAATATAACATAGAGAAACGCAACTCTAGAAAATTTAGAAATAAGGTTTTACAGAAAATAATTATTATTTCAATAAATAAAGTTCAATTGTTGCAATGAAGATATACTTACTAATTAAAAGGATTAGATTTCGTACACTGTGTTAGCCCCTGTTTTCCTTACTTGTTTAATAAATAAAGCTTTAGTTATATAGTCTATAAAAAAAAGTTCAGAAACTTTTACGATAGATTGTATGAATACCATAAGTGTAACAGGATTTCAAAATTTTGACAAGCATCCAAATAATATATACGCACACACACGCATATCCACCCGTTTCTCCCTCCCCCCCACACACACATATATGCGCGCGCACGCAAGCATAATTGCTATTTGCAGTTAAATGATCCGTAAGGCGATGCTGAACATCTTCCTGTTTTACGGTGGCGTCACTTTAATTAGCGATTTGTGCATATATATGTGCAGTGCGATATTAGGCCAATTCTTTATAACTGAACTGGCTACTGCACTAGTTCATCTAAGTTAACAGTTCATCATAAAGAACAGACCTATTGATGTAATAGTGCGCAGATGCACTATTTTATTTGTATTATTGGACACATTACTCGCTGCTACTTGGAAATACTGTTGCAGGCAGAATATTGACAAAATGCTGAAAAATACTATCAACAAAATGTGATAGCAGATTGCAGGTGAAAGAAATCCAGCCGTTTTGACACAACTTGTTATACAGTTTAATACAGATTGACGGCAGAAATAGAGTATATATGTAGAATCCGTCGAATCAGGTTCTGCTCGGTTGCTACCGCCAATCTGCTGCCATATATGTCAGCAGACTCCATCGATAAAACATAAGCTTAATGCGGATACAATTGACCCTAGCAATTCCTGATTGAATTTGTCATCAATTGTTATCAATCTAATACCATATTGCAGACAGTTTGCTTATCGGATAATTTATCAATTAAATCATTATTGTATTGTATTTTGACATACATATGTATGCACATGTTAATACTTCTTTTATAAAACAATAGATTGAATTAATTAATAATATAAAAAAGATATAGTATTATTCGGAAAATGTTATATAATTTCAATATTGTAATCGCATATCATTTTTAAATGCAATTATGTTATTGTTTTATAATAATCCATTTATCTTATTAATTTGTGCTTAAAAATATAAAAATAATAAGATAATCGATAAATAAATAATTTAAGAAATATTTTGTACATATACAGGGTGTCCCATTTTATATTTGACAGGCAAATATTTGGAAATCGCGAGGTTTGAGAGAAAAATGTTTCAGACGAAAGTTGTAGGGTTTCGAGGGAGACATAAGATGATAACATTGATTTGACTCTGAGTGGCGTCGTAAGGTCAAAACAAGGTCACTTTGAATTTTTTTAATGAAACCCCCCATTTTTCCTTACATATTCTTGTAGCACATCTCGAGAGCTTTTCAAAACACATAGATAAAATATTTTTTGATTAAATAAATCTTGAGTTATGAAGCTTGAAAGTTGCAGTATCATCGGCATTATCGGCATTATCAAGGTGTCCGAACATTGGCTAAAATCTTTTAAATGTTGTTCAGGATCATGACCTAGACAACACATGTCAAGATCAAGACCATTAAAGGTTATTACTTTTATTTTCATTTTTGAAAACTATATTTATTTTAAAAAAAAAGGGAAACAATTTCCAATGATCATGATCTTCACATGTTTTATCAATATCATAATCTTGAACAACATTCAAAAGATTTTAGCTAGTGTTCGGACACCTTGGATGATGCTATAACGCCGACGGTAATCCAACTTTCAAGCTTTATAACTCAAGATTTATTTCATAAGAATATATTTTATCTATGTGTTTTGGAAAGCTGTCAAACTGGTACAAGAATATGTAATGAAAAACTATTTTTCATTTAAAAATATCAAAAATATCTTCGCCTTTTTCTTAGCCATTAAGTATGTACATACATATACTCATTATTAGCTTATGTTACAAAAACAATATTTATCTCGCACTAAGTGCATACACGAATAATGTACAAATAATTATGACATATCCGAACTTCCATTTGACATTGATTATATAGAGGAGCTCGACAAATTTTAAATGCGAGAAACAGATACCAGCAAACGCTATTGATCTAGCGACAGTAATGTTGTAATTATTCAGTAATCTTGCAATTATTCAGTAAAAGACGACTTTAATTTTCTAAAAATGGTTGATTCTAAGTCAATTTACAGTCGACTGTTAAAGTTGACAAAAACAACCTAGAAATAGACGGCTTAATGTCGACTTTAATAGTCGGCTACAACTTGACTGAAAAAAGTCGACTATTAGCCGGCAAACAGCCATTCGTGCTGTGTAGGAATCTTCAATGATCATGGCCTTATTGACACATGTTGTCAAGTTCATGATCCTGAACAACATTCAAAAGATTTCAACCATTGTTCGGACACCTTAGATTATGCTAATGCCGATGATATGTAACTTTCAAGCTTTATAACTCGAGATTTACTTAACCAAAAAACATTTTATCTATATGTTTTGGAAAGCTCTCAAAATAAGCTGTAAGAATGTGCAATGAAAAATGGGGGGTTTCATTTAAAAAATTCATAGTGACCTTGTCCTGACCTTGACGACGCCACTTAGGGTTATCATCTTATCCCTTATAGAAAAGTATTACTGAAACTACCGACCAAAATATTACTGGCAGTAATTTATTACTGAATATCTTTCAGTAGTTTCAGTAATACTTAGAAAAATATTACTGAAAGATTACAGAAAGAAGAAACTACCAAAAGATATTCAGTAATAAATTAC